CCCTCAATTTAAAGAGACTGTCCTTGTCAAAGGCGGACTAGGACAGCCTCTTCCGTCTATTATGCTCAGTATCTTATATGTTATGATCATGTCCTGTTTCTTATCTAGGGGTTTGAAATGGTTGGCGTAATCTATCCTCATAGCTTAACACTCCCAGTTCTGGCACTAGTCTTGTTGCAAACAGTTGCAGTCATTATGTTTGAGATTTAGAACGACGCAGATTTCAGGTCAGTGGTGCACATTTGAGCATTGGTGTAACATGTGCAGCGAGCATTGCCTCACTAGGGAGCCGGTCGGCCGAGCAGACAGCACGCTGTACTTGTGATCCTGTGGTCCTGGGTTCGATCCCAGGCGCTGGCGAGAAACAATGGGCAGAGTTTCTTTCACCCTATGTCCCTGTTACCTAGCAGTAAAATAGGTACCTGGGTGTTAGTCAGCTGTCACGGGCTGCTTCCTATAGGTGGTGGCCTGGTCGAGGACCGGGCCGCGGGGACATTAAAAGCCCCGAAATCATCTCAAGATAACCTCAAGATAACCAGTCATTATTTAGGGTTTTATATGGAGTTTTAAAACTTTCCAGCTCCCCTTATGCTGGCATTAATGTTATTGCTTCTGGTATTTGGGTTATCTTGATGATTTCGGGGCTTAGCGTCTCCGCGGCCCGGTCCTCGATCAGGTCTCCTTTTTGCTACATATCCCCAGGAAGCAGCCCGTAGCAGCTGTCTAACTTCCAGGTACCTATTTACTGCTAGGTAATAGGGGGCATCAGGGTGAAAAACATTTTTGCCCATTTGTCTCCGCCTCCACCGGGGACCGAACCCGGAACCTCAGGACTACGAATCCGAAGCGCTGTCCACCCAGTTGTCAGGCGCCCCGACAGCTGGGTGGATACAGTCTATCCAGTTTTCTTTCCGTGTCGAAAACTCGATTAAGTTTTGAAGTGTCCGGCGTGACTTGTTCGGCTGTAAGTCCATGCTACGCTTCCGTTACCAAGTTGGTCTTATCAAGCCCGCCATTAGTCCGGTCATTTTATCCAGATTTATCATTGGCGCCTCTCGTCTCTTCTAGTTTTGAATATTAGGACGTGTGTGTGTGTGTGTGTGTGTGTGTGTGTGTGTGTGTGTGTGTGTGTGTGTGTGTGTGTGTGTGTGTGTGTGTTCTCGCCTAATTGTGCTTGCGGGGGTTGAGCTCTGGCTCTTTGGTCCTGCCTCTCAACCGTCAATCAACTGGTGTACAGGTTCCTGAGCCTACTGGGCTCTATCATATCTTCACTTGAAACTGTGTATGGAGTCAGCCTCCACCACATCACTGCCTAATGCATTCCATCTGTTAACTACTCTGACACTGAAAAAGTTCTTTCTAACGTCACTGTGGCTCCGTGTGTGTGTGTGTGTGTTTAACAAAAGTCTGGGCAGTTTCTCGTCTGAAGGGCAGTTGAGAATTTTTGTTTGGGAGTGAGGGAATACTTCAGCAGCATTGTCGGTTCCTTCAGATGTGTTCCACTCGTCTATAGCGACTACATCATTCAGTGTTCTGTTCATGTTTGATCTCGCAAACTTGTTCTCCGATTTGTTCCATCTGTAAAGACTTTAGTATCCTCACCACCTTATCAGAGAATTTCTCCTTATCTCCCCAACCTGGCACCCGCAAGATAGCGTAAATTTTAGGGGTTGACAAATGTTAATCTTCTTGTGTGATAAGCTGTTTACTTGAGACAGTTAAGTCCCAGCTGTGTCTGGGTACAAGTGACAGGATGAACAACCCAGCGGGTTTTCTTCCTATTGGGGAGTGTTGTACATGATGTTATGGCGATGTGTCCACTCACAGGATGAGTGGCGCTCCCCAATACTGTCACTATGGCTGTGGCTGGCTGTGACTGGCTGGCTGGCTGGCTGTGGTTGGCTGGCCACCAACAGTTTGGGAGACGTTGGAGGTAGCGAGGGAGGAAGGTGGCAGTGTATGACAGTTTGTGTGTGTGGGGCTGGTGGTGGGTGCCCTCTCACTGCTGGCTGGCCTCAGTCAGCAGGCGCTGTGGGGGCGGGAGCTCCTCTCTCCTTTGCCCAAGTCTTTCCCAAGGAGACAATAAGTGTTGACTGAATACTGGCAGTCACTTAGGTAGCAGGAAATGTAGCGTCAAGTTCTCCGGTGACGCCATGCCACAATGGCGTTGATTTCTTCTGTATATTGAGTCAAAAGTTCCATGCCACAAGTGGCAAAGCGGGCGTAGTCTAGGGCAGGAACATCGCTTCTTATATTCCGGGTAGACTGGTTGAGGTGTGAGGCTCGCGGCCAGCACATAGCAAGGTAAATTCTCCTGGCACAGCACCTCATCAACGTGGATGTTAGTAGTGCAGCAGCAAGTGGTGGCGGTGTGGGTGACAGTGTGGCTGGTGGCAGCACTCCGGGGCACTGGGTACTCTTCATCATCAACAATGATGCCACTTGCCTCCACGTGGCCCCCCCCCCACAACATCATGACTGACCTCACGCCACTCTTCCCCCCCCCCCCCACCCTCGTCTTCCGCACTACCCTTCCGTCCATTCCCACTAGACAGAAGTTGACGGGAGGGAACGAAACATTCCAACATTAGACAAGAAGGATTCGGACACCATTACCCCGTCATCTGAGCTCGGGGCCAAGGCCATTACTAAGACGCGTGTGATAAGCTGTCGATAATTTCTGGGGCTAGAGTCTTTAATTAACATCAAATGTCACAATTAAATCTTAGAGACTCGCGAGGCAACTTTATTGACAAACAGCTCCCAGCTCTCACCCTAAGTATGTTGAAGTGGCCTCGTTGAATGTTGTTATAGTTCAGTTACTCGGAACAAGTTGCAAGTAGCACGGGCTATGGTGAGCCCGTAGTGGACTTACCTGGCACAGGAGCGGTGCCTCGTTGAAGTAAGGGGCCACATAAGTACCTCGTCACCCACTCAAATGATGCAAGGCTTGTCACCCCCTCAACTTGGAGAATACATTACATGTGCGAACGGCTGTTAATATGCTATCAAGGAAAAGGATGTTAACAGACTTGACTAAATGAACCCAGAATCCGTATTATTTGCAACCCGTTCTCGACTAGAGTCCATTCCATCCAGCGGGCGACCCCACAGACGTATTCATAATTTTTGTCATGCTGTTCATTCAAAACTGGAATTTTCTCAAATATATATTACTATAATAGCATATTGTGCATATATAGGCATAGGTTAGGTGTTAGGTTCCGTTGGCGATTATTTGTAGTACGTGGGTGAAGTATTTACAGCGTTGTGGTTCGAACAGTCAACAGTTGAGTCGTGTGTAAACCGCTTTTCATTCATAAACATTGGTTTGGCGGCTGGATTAACGAGCTTGGATGGTTGTATGCGATGACGGGCTGCTTTAGTGACATTAAGAACGATCAGGCCGGACTAGTCTTCCTTAAGGGTTGTTTTTGTCAAAGTTTACGGAAGACATTTTTTCCCATGAAGTTTGATATAATTTGTTCCAATTAATGTGAATATCGATTTAGGTTTTATTTACATTCGAATGTTGTATTGGAGGGTTGGCAGCCCGTCCTCCAAACAGACCCGAAAGTGATTCCATCCACCCGCCAAACCCCAGCTGTTTATGAATGAAAAACTACACACGACTCTCAACTGTTGACTGTCCGAACCCCAACACTGGAAATGCTTCACCCACGTGCTGCAAATACAAATAGTCTCCAACACAACCTAAACACCTAACTTAAGCCTAACTATATATCCCTCCCTCCCTCCCTCGCTCGCTCCTCCCCCCCCCTCTAATCACTTAGTCTGGTGTGCAGTTGCCCTGGAAATGGAGATTTGCAAGGTACCAAAATCTCCATTTTCTCCATGCTGCCCTTGACTTTAACTGTGTTTAGCAAGAAGGAAGATATTTTAAGTTACAATAAAACACAGATTGACGTGGAAATTGTTTTTGGTCAGAGATGGCAGCTGGAAAGTAGCAACACTGCGTTTGTTCTAGCTTTTCTGGGCTTAGCCAGCCAGGTATGTTGGTAAAGGTCCTGTATAATGACTCATGTTGACAACTGGTGCAGGAAGTATACTAAATATACAGAAATATTGGACAGGAGAGCAGCTGGAATAGGGACGATGCCCAAACTCTTGGTTCATTGGGGATCGAACGCAGACCTGTAAGAACCGAGGTCTGTATGGTTGAATGAAATCCTTATCCCGACCCCTTCCCAGTGATATATAGTCGTAATGGCTTGGTGCATTCTGCAAATAATTCTCTCCGTCCTTGCACTATGTTAACAAGTTGTAATTCAGTTGCCTATTGTTTTAGAGCCTAAAATAAATATTCCATGGTCACGTCAAGTGGTTGTGTAAAGTGTGTGTGTAATTACCTAAGTGTAGTTACAGGATGAGAGCTACGCTCCTGGTGGTGTCCCGTCTTCCCAGAACTCTTTGTTCCATATAGTCGTATAACGCTTTGAAACTGTGTGTGTGTTCACCTAGTTCACCTAGTTCTGTTTGCGGGGGTTGAGCTTTGGCTCTTTGGTCCCGCCTCTCAACTGTCAATCAACAGGTGTAAAGATTCCTGAGCCTACTGGGCTTTATCATATCTACACTTGAAACTGTGTATGGAGTCAGCCTCCACCACATCACTTCCTAATGCATTCCATTTATTAACTACTGACACTGAAAAAATTCTTTCTAACGTCTGTGACTCATCTGGGTACTAAGTTTTCCCCTGTGTGTGTGTGTACTCGCCTATTTGTGCCTTCGGGGGTTGAGCTTTGGCTCTTTGGTCCCGAATGTGTGTGTGTGTGTGTGTGTGTGTGTGTGTGTGTGTGTGTGTGTGTGTGTGAGAGAGAGAGAGAAATCTCTGCACTGGTCTGTTTCTAACGTGTCCTTGATAGTGTCATAATAAATCAAGAGGTCATCCTCTTGGTTTGTGTTCAATTACTCTTTACTGACGAGGACTGGGATCCTGTCTTAGCATTGTATATAATAATTTTTCCGTTGTGTTCCAGGTACGGTTGGTAGTGCTGAGGCGGGCCTGACCTGTGTCCGGCCTGCCAGGGTCGCCATCACCAGCGGGAAACACTTTCCACGGGAAATTGCAGGTAAATCGCCTTGGGTGAGTTCTGGTGAACCGGGCCCGGGTGGTGGTGAGACACGAAGCTGGTGTTGAAGGTATTGGAGGAGAGGGGGGGGGAGACGGACCTGGGGGGGGGGGGCTTAACAATGCACCTTGTGTGAGGAAATGTTTTCTGCCTGTAGACGCAGTCTCTGGTTTACCTGTAGACGCAGTCTCTGGTTTACCTGTAGACGCAGTCTCTGGTTTACCTGTAGTCGCGGTCTGTGGGGGTTTACCTGTAGTAATACTCCGCAATTGTTCACTAGGGGAACCTTGGACAGGTAAGTAACGATTGCATTGACCTTTCCTGTAAACCAGTTGACTGGAAAGTGTGTGTGTGTACGTACGTGTGTGTACACCATCTCAGCAAGTACATTTACCTGTTATGTGATTGCAATGTTGAACATGTTGCTGGATGAATGAAGTCTTCGTGACTTGTTGGGTTAACGGAGTCTTGGGTGGATATAATGGCACCACTAAACATCCGAGACTTGTACAAACACATTAATGTGTAGCATAACCAGGCTTCTTACATTGGTAAGGGTTAAATACAGTTAGTTTTTAAAGAATATGTACTCGGCCTATGAGAGTAGAATAGGGAGCCCCAGCATCAAAATCCGCACCTGTCGAAGCAAAATATATTATATATAATATATATATATAATATAAAATAACAGGCCAGGGAAGGTGCCCCACAACAGGCCAAGGAGTGACGGTGCTCAAGCACTCAAAGGACCACAGGTCTTGTGCCCTGAACAGCTTCCGCGAGACTGAGCAGAGTTCGATCCGGGGCTGGAGCAGCCCCACTCTCTCGCTTCAATCATTTAAGTAAAAGCCTACACACACACACAGAGCACCAATCAGATTACAGTTTCAACCCCCCACACGCATCTGGTTGGTCTCTGGGCTGGACTTGTATGGCGGGGGAGAGGAATGGGATTATAAACAACCGTTGACCGGGTCAGGTTTGAGGTCAAGTAAGTGCAGAGATATAATTAAATACATTCCAAAAGGATCGAGTAGATTTAGCTATTTCTACCCTCATCTACTTAGCCCCTCAAGGGGCTCACAATTAAATACGGTAGACAAATACAAATATACATTAATAATACATAAACCTTAATTGAACAGTCGTCACATAGTACATATTACAAAATATATTAAAAGTATCTTAGTATTATACTCTTGAGGCAAAGTGTCTGATCCTCCCAATAATTCTCTCCATCATGCCAAGTTAAGATTCTTTCCAACAATTTAATAATAATGTCCATTCACTGCTCTATTTACAACCCGATATGTTCCAACACATTATCCTCGCTCCATATTTTCCCCAAAACTCCTAACTTGACCATTTTCTGCAAGGTTCACCGAGGACCCCCAAGCCTCCTTAGAGAAGACTCTCAGGAATGCAACTCAACTCTTTGGTCCTCACAGCAGCCATAACGTACAAGACTAGTTGACACAACACCATTCTCTCACCTTACGTGGCCCAACCACTTGGGCTGGACGGTAGAGCGGTCGTCTCGCGTCATGCAGGTCGGCGTTCAATCCCCGACCGTCCAAGTGCTTGGGCACCATCCCATCCCCCACGTCCCATCCCAAATCCTTATCCTTTCCCAATGCTATATAGTCGTAATGGCTTGGCGCTTCCCCCCCCTCCCCCCTGATAGTTCAAGTTCACCTTACGTGGCTATTGCATTGTATTCTGCCCAAGTGTTGCCATATATAACATAACTTTGTTCAATCTCCGTTGTCAGTCTCCTCTTTTTCCGCCATACCAACACACAAGTGGCCGTTCGTTCATACAATGCTAACCAATACATGTAAATGTTCTTATCTGTAACCCTGGCCAAAGAGGAGACATGTTCTACATGTAGTGCAGTTGCTTCCTGGATTGTTCCTGGATGAGAGGTTCTGGGAGTTCTTCCTACTCCCCAAGCCCGGTCTGGGACCAGGCTTGAGAGCTTGGTCCCAGGCCGGGCTTGGGGGAGGGGTCGGAAATCAATCGGTACATTCTACAATATTTTGTCTGACAGGAAGAGTGTCTTGTTTCCACTGACAGTTGCTATATATAGTCGTAATGGCTTGGCGCTTTTCCTTGATAATTCCATCCTTCCAGTGACAGTCGTAGAAGGAAATGTTGACATCTTTTTCTAGCATGTTGACAACATTTTCTAGCAAATGTTGACATGTTCATTAGGATGTCATACTTAAGTCTTCAAGCTGAGCGCTGTTGTTAGTTGGGCGCAGCTAGAGTAGCTTAGCCTTGACCAGGATAGCCATCTCGTGAGAAGATAAAAAGCAAAATAAATATGTTAAAGATTTAGCTACTCAGGAGGAAGTGTCCATGTAGCACGGGCTATGGTGAGCCCGTAATAACAAATTACGGGCTCACCATAGCCCGTGCTACAAAATAAATACAAATAATCTTTTTATATATATGTGACGTCAGGTGGTTGTCTCTGGTAGTACTTTTGGTGGGTACTGCTGGTACTAAGTCGTCCTGGGAGAGGTCGTAGCAGACTAGTGGTGCGTCGTGTGTGTGGGGGGGGGGGTGGGGCCTGGAGGCCTGGAGGGGGGGGGGTGGGGGCTGCTCTACTGCTATTTATATCAGCAGCTGTTGTCAGTGATGCTGTTTAATGTTCCTTGTATCCCAAGTCGGAGTCAAAGTGTGTCCGGGTTCTTCCCTCTTGCTTGCTCTCCTGCCCCCCCCTCCCCCCTCCCTCCTCTCTCTCTCTCTTTGTGTTTTTAACAATTGGTGTTTGTCCGGTGTTGACAAGTAATTCTGGCAGTGTTGCTGCTGCTCGGGGTGTTGCGAGGCTGGTGCTGTGTTGCGTGTGTCGGCCGGGGGTTGGTGGGGGGGGGGGGTTGACTGCGTAGCGCTTGTACAGGTGTTGGCCCTGAATGTTGTAACACAAGGGTTTATGGAGGTTGTGAGTGAGTCAGGCCGCCCCCCGTGTGTGCTCCGTGGACTGGTTGTGGGGTGCCCACTCCCCCGGGGAACTGACTGGTTGTGGGGCGCCCACTCCCCCGGGGGACTGACTGGTTGTGGGGCGCCCACTCCCCCCGGGGGGACTGACTGGTTGTGGGGTGCCCACTCCCCCGGGGGGACTGACTGGTTGTGGGGCGCCCACTCCCCCCGGGGGGACTGACTGGTTGTGGGGTGCCCACTCCCCCGGGGGGACTGACTGGTTGTGGGGCGCCCACTCCCCCGGGGTGTGTGTGGGGCTGTGCAACACGACTGTTTGGAGTGTTTCTCTGCCAGTTCTCCGCCACTCATCATTGTCCCTAATCAAAAACAGTGTCAAGTTTCTTTCGTGTGTGTGTACTCGCCTAGTTGTGTTTGCAGGATCGAGCATTGACTCTTGGATCCCGCCTTTCTAGCCATCGGTTGTTTACAACAATGACTCCGGTCCTATTTCCCTATCATACCTGGTTTTAAAATTATCAATAGAATTTGCTTCCACAACCTGCTCCTCAAGTGCATTCAATTTTTCCACTATCACGCTAAAAGAACACTTCCTAACATCTGTGACGTACGTGTGTGTGTGTTTTGGAGGAAAAATGGTTGATCGACAGTTGAGAGGCGGGCCCAAAGAGCCAGAGCTCAACCCCCGCAAGCACAGCTAGGAGAGTACACCAAGCTCACTTGCTGTATGCCAAAAATGCAGCTGCTTTGCTTAACCCAAAACGTAGGCTCCCAAACAACTGTTCCATCGAGGCAGATGTTTAGGCAACATCAATATTACTGAATGGACAAATCCACAAGGGTCGTGACGAGGGTTCGAACCTACGTCCGAGGGGATCCTAGACGCTGTCTTAATAGACTGAGATTGTGATTTGTGTGTCAATATTATTGTATATTTTTTTTTTTTTTGAAATGCGTCGCATCTGTTAACGAACTGGTCGATTCCGTAAGAATTACGTCGTGTTAGGTGAGAGAGACGAGAGGTGTGTGTGTGTGTGTTGGGGTGAGTGAGGGCGGTTGGGCACTGAGGCAGGGGGGGGGGGAGTATTGAGGGTATCTGGAGTAGTGTTTACGATGCCCCTTGCTGCCTGGAGTTGGGTTGCGGCCCTCAGCCAATCACAGGCCTCGGGGGGAAAGATTCTCGAGTGCGACTTAAGCTGTAGAACCGTTTGAGAATATTGTATCGTGCTCTCTCTCTCTCCACGCCGTCGAGGGAGTTTGGTCACCGTGGTCGTCTACAGGCCACGACCACGGTGTTCGGGGGGGTGTTCGGGGTGTTGGGGGGTCGTCGCTCTGCCTATGAATCAAACCCAGAACAAATTAGTTGAGAGCAGACTGTGCCATGATGAGCCTTGAAGAGGCAGGTTAAGTGACCCGGTTGTCAAGCCAAACCTTCCTCTTATAAATCGCGTCACTTTCCGACTGTATGCGCACTCAGGCTCAAAAATCGACGTAATTCAAAATGAAATCGTCTGGCGAAAGTGTGACGTACTGTCCCGTTTTTTGTTTTGGGTCCTCTGGCTTACTCGGTTAGGTTAGGAAAGTATAGTTTAAATTGTGTTTTCATGACGTTTTGAAACCTTAAAGAGAACTTCCTGCCCTCCTAACCTACCACACGACCCTAAATTTCCAGTTTTGGGAGAAAAATTCCAAACTTTGATTGGAAAATAAATTTTCATTTTTAATTACGTAAATATTTGACTGTAGCGCATACGAGTGAAAAGTGATGTGATATGCAAGATGACGGGGTCTGACAGCTGAGTGGACAGCGCTACGGATTCGTAGTCCTGAGGTTCTGGGTTCGGTTCCCGGCGGAGGCGGAAACACATGGACAGTTTCCTTCACCCTGATGACCCTGTTCACCTAGCAGTAAATAGGTACCTGGGAGTTAGACAGCTGCTACGGGCTGCTGCTTCCTGGGGTAACAAAAAGGAGGCCTGGTCGAGGACCGGGCCGCGGGGACGTTAAGCCCCGAAATCATCTCCAGATACTGGTTGCCGGCAGGCGTGACAATGTAG